AGCTGATGTGGTAATCATTACCACATCAACAACGGATGTTGATGTGTTAATTTAATGGTACATGTTGTCGTTGCGTGTTGATACTGTTGTATATTTAGAGATGTTTGACGTCTCGGCGTCTACGTTATGTAGATGTAATACCTAGACTATAATGATCACTACGAATTGTCAGTAATTTTTCCCTACCACCTTCGAACGCTGATGACATCCTCTCTAACGCTGTAGGTCAATGAGCTGAAGACTAATGTGTATGGTTTAATTAACGCAATCAGTGATATATGTTTCATGATTGTATTCCAATTTACCTCGATGTTTGCTCTCTTAAACATTGCTCATCTGAAATCTGGGAGTATAAATTGATACGGAATTATAACTTTAATCAGACATTTACACATTACCAAGACATTACTGTACTGTTTTTAATTACTCTATTTGGGATGAAAACATTGCCAGGATAACACAAAACAGGTTTTATAAATTAATTGGTGAATATGACTGTATGTAAAATTTCTGAAGACATAATTTTTAAATTTTCACCCCAAAAATGAAATCGAAAAAAACGAATTCGATCTTTCATCGGAGTTAGGGACGCGACCAATTATATCAACGGGTAACACCAACAGAAATATATATGGACAAATTGACAAGGTGTACAAAATTAGTGCTTCTGGACTATGGATCGAGGATTATGACGATGACAAAGGAGTTATCTTCTTTTAGAGGAAACACAACTTTGCAAATTTGGGTACCACAGACATGAATCACTCAGACTAAATATTATAATCAGTTTAGTGACAGTTACTCATTTCATCGGAAACAAAATACCAAGTACTTCATCTGAATCAAACCTGCATTACCAAACATTCCAACGAAAGAAAAACACATTTAATATAAAATTTAGTTTTTTTTTTTCTGAAATTTTATCTTTTTTTTTCCATTTAGTCAATACTTAATGATTGTTTGTTATTGTTAAAAACAAAGTTCTAGAAAAATGTAATGAATATGTTCTAAATTGAATTATTTTCAAATATGATTAAACTTCAGCAGAAATGAAAGAAACGGATTATCAGAAATTATTAATATTTAGAATAGGATCTAATAAGAGAACTTTTGGTCTGCATTTGGATTGAAAATTATGTGATCGAGTCCAAGCATATCTAAAAGTAGATCTAATATAAATAACAGTTCCACAATACTGCGAAACAGCTAATATAGAGGTCTGTTTTAGTAAGGTAAAAACTGCAAGTACTGAGGGAGAGTGTGACAGTAGATCTTGTCCGATTGGGCACTCGTGACTTATCTACGAGGTAAGAAGATATACTGTCGTGAAAGTAGTCAGCTGGATACAGAACAAAGAAATCTCCCCATACAACTGTGATGTTTTAGTGTATACTTTGAAATAGAATTTATTAATCAAAATAACTAAGATACATTATCAACAAACTCTCCCCGTGACTGAACACAATAAGTGAACACAGCTCGTAAACGTTAAATAATAGTAACATCCTCAGTCGCAGTAAGATAAACGAAGATATGTTTTTCTTGATTAAACGTTACTTCAGGTAAGAGGAATAAAATAAAGCAACATTTTAAAAGTGATATGTTTGAATAAATAAATTAAAACACATGCAAATTGTGAATGGAATGATATCTTTTCAATTTGACTAGTTATACCAGCAGCATGCGCCTGTATGACCCTGAAGAACCAAGTCAGCAGCAGGATGTATTGCACAGGGACACTCCACCTAGCAAGATGGCATATGGCTGCCAAAAACTGACCGGAAAACCCGATCGAGACAATGCACTGGTCAACAGTAGGATTCGTGGCAAGATCTGAAGACTTAGAGAGGCCAGGTGACTAAGTATGGCCCAAACTGCTTCAATGTTGAGTATTTGGCGTTTTAGAATATATATAATTTATGGCACACAACTGCTTTAACCATCTTGCATCATGTAAAAGCAAAAACAGAATATATGCAAATATATTCTAGATCACATTTTCAGGGTTCCTAGGGGAAACACAAACCTCGGTTTGGACAGATCCAAAATCATCAGTCCAGCCTTCACCTCAATCAAGTAACCGTCGCGATTATGGAGTCGTCCGTCTTCCAGTAACATAATTTGAAAATTGCGCATCACAATGGTATTTCTATATATTTTTAATTTGTAATAAATTAAAAGAATAAAATAAAAGATCATAACAAAAGAGTATTAATCTCTTCAGTAATGCTGATCTGGGAATAAAACTCGAAATTAAAAATAAACTTTCTTAGAAAACAATGATAAAACGTAAATTAAATAATGCTATCACAGATTATCTCAAATTGAAAATATACTTGTTACCCAAACCGCTAGGTAAAAATTCTACGTAATGAAAAGATATTAGTTCCAAACCCTACAATCATCAGTACAAGACTGGTCCAGTTATTGATATGCAAACTCAGTGACGTAAGCAATATATGCGAAACTTCATGTCACGAATGATTACGTCATACTGACCGTGTGATGCGCAGTTTTCTATAATACAGTGATAGAAAACAAAGCTGAAGCCTTCACCAATCACCAAAACCCGGCAACCACCACCAATAATGCAAACTAGATTGTTTATTGCCATTTTATATGTAAATTTCTAAAGCTATATGCTAGTATGTATTTATATATATATATATAGTAAGTATCTACATCATTTATCAACAAATATAAACGTAATATTACAACGTAAATCAATTTACATCATGTGTAATGCGTAGCCTGAAAGAAGTAAATAGTTGCATAACTACCCTTTTGTGTAAAATTGATACCGGAATGATTTTGTTGATGGTCCTCATTATCCCTTCACAAACTATTCAACATAAACACGTGGGTTCCATTAAGGGAAATTAACACACTGGAGAGTATCAGAATCGACAATTGTTTGATTACATTTTTTATCGACAGTTAAAAAAAGCATTTTATTGCTTAACCTTTCCAATTCTTTGTGAAAGAAGTTCAAAGTGATTTAAAGCATTTTAGAATATTTCTTTATAGGATATTCCCTTTATGGTACCCCAAATACACACGTGCACAACAACCACATCAGCATGCCAAACCGCTCACCAGCAACCATTGTACCACAATACTGTTAGTGTCACTATTTACACACAGTTTATTGACAACAGTTACTATGACCACAAACCACGTGACATAGAACCACCCCTTTCCATTACACCACTAGTAAATGGTATCATATATTGTTTTTGACAATTAAACGCATGTTTTATAGGATAAACGCTTGATTCAGTCTCTAGAAATTTTGATATTTTATTTTGTTTGAAAAGAAATCACAATCTCAAATTTCAGACAACGTTACAAGTTCAGAAATGGAAAAGCGTCCAAGGTAGTCTTATGCCACGTGAATGTGTATACATTATTGCACAAGGTACAGTCATTTCCGTGATAAATGTTTTCATATTAGCTACATGCTGGCATTTATAGAACTTGAAATGTAAATCGTTCTAATGTCGCATTATTTGCATATTGTAGCTATTTATCATATCCTACCAGACAACATGTTCACACAAATATGTACAAATAATTACTATCATTAATGAAATTCATGACTCATTTCTCTCACATTCACGGCGAGATTCTATCATACATATGTATATATGCAACAATAATTAATAAAATAAACATAATATATATATATATATATTTATATATATAAATTCTTCCTGAACAGATAATTCCTACATATGACTTTATCGCTGACGAAACACAATGGGTGAATTTGATTGGTTCATATTATTGCATTACAAATCATTAAATAAAAATAAGGTTCTGCGCAAAAGGTATTCATATATCAACCATTTAAAAAAAAGAGAGATTCTGTGTGACATTTAATTATTCCTGGTCAGTCGCGTGGTCATCTTTCGCGTTTCCATACCAACAGCTAGCACTTACTCAACACTAGATCAGCTCAACATACAATCAGCAGCATTCCGAGATATAATTACTTCCTTTTTCAGCCAACATCCAAATTTTACTGATCAGATCTACATTTCTTATTTGCGTACAGGATTTTATTTACCTAGAAGTTCTATTCAAACTCAGTGACTAGAAATCACATTTGATTATATATAGTATTATTTTCGTTTCTTTTTGGCACCCTAACATATAAGGCATCCAGTGAAAGTGTTTTGCACATATATAATATCTGTTTATATATTTCAACAAACGAACCATCAAATTTGTATATACTTAGAAAGTATACTGAAAACAACTTATGTGTACAATAAAAACTAGAAATATTAAACGCATATAAATTCACAAAAATAACAACGACACAAAAATGTCTTCATATCCGGCATTAAAACAACAAATAAAAGTTAAACAAATATTACATAAAACATCAAATTGTCATGGATTGATGATATGTACAAGCATCCGAAACAAAGGAAATATGTCTCTATTTCAGATCTAATGGTGATCAAAGAGAAAAGGCACTTATAGATGCTTCCTAAAACTATATGATAAAACTACAGTTCTAAATCTGCTCACAGTCTTCAGACACTATACCTCTTGTACTTCACCTAAACACAAAATGCCCATTTGTCAATTCTTGAAAAAAAAAAAAAAAAAATCGAGGTATGTTTGTGCTCTAAATGAATTTCATAACAGCATATATCAGTCAATTTAGAATGAAGTAGACAGGATCGCCAAACCAGCTATCGAATTTCTTTATTTGAATGAAGTGACATTTCGGAAGGCAAATACATTTGGACCAAGTGTGTGAGACATGGCAAGATACTGACTCGCTTGAGCTGTTTTGGCTGATGGAATATCATAAGATTCCCAATAAAACGGTACTTACAATCATCACAGTATACAGAAACACATGCATACACACATATATATACAAACATTCACACGCACGCATAATGTCATATTTGATGTCATACTTCTTCGATAATAATACGATATCATTGGAACACTTCAACGCCTCCAATATGATCAAGTCTTCAGGAAATGTCCGAATGCACTGGTTATCACACGAGAAATAGGTCAATGACACAGTTTCCAATGGTGTGTTTATTCAGTTGAATTATTGCACGTTCAGCTTCACCGCGTGTCATGAATGTCACAACAGCCTCTCCGCTAGGTCTGCCGTCTGGTAGAGCCTGAATCTGTATATTTTCAGGTGTTACCTACAAATAACGATTTAGGTAAGTTAATTGAGACACACTACATTTGAACTTGCAATCAGAAAAAATAATGATCCGATTCTTGAAAATCATTTTAATAAGATTTATGAACTGATCCCTTCTACTCAAACGATTAACAAAAGACGAAAACAAGAAAAGAAGCAAATTAATAATGAATTTACGTTATGCAATTTATCTTAATTAAAAGAGAACCTTTTGCACAACTAAATCAGTTTTGTCTTCAGTTTCTTAAAGCCTAAGGTAAATAACTTGTAGTTATAATGAACATTACAAAAGACTATACAGTCCATATTCTCTCCATGAATGATAGCACATCACAACTTTAAGAAACGTTTAACATTAATAGTATGATTAAATGGAATGTAAATTCATGAAAATAATATGGAATATGGTTTACTCAATACGGATATGCAAATATGAACAGCTAAGTGAATACGTATATATACATTTATAGAAAGAAGTGAGTAAAAAGTGTCTTTGAAATTGAGCACAACTATTATTTAATGCAGGTTCGAAATATGTCATTAATTCTGACTTACGTAATTAAAAGAATATCTAATAGTTGTCCTCCAAAAAGATGTTTCAATATATTCTTGTCAATTGCTTTATCCAATTTAAACATTGATATTCATTTCGATAAAATACTTTTATTTCGCCCATATTTCAAAGACACATAAGCAAAGCTTGATAAATATATAAAAGTTGAAGAAGCCCGTGAGTGATTGTAGCGTAGATTGTTTTAGTAGTGAGTGAGTACCGAGTAAAACAAAGACAGAGAAAAAGTACACACAAGGTTAACGTGTTATAGAATCTCGTCTAACTAGAAGCAGTGTCAAGTAGCCGATAACACACAAAAAACGTACAAGATGTCGGTCATTACTCTCCTATATTTGGGGCGGTCCTGTTGAAATACTGACTTACAAATTTTGTTTAAAAGTTTTCTTAAAAACAAGTTTTTTTTTTCAAATATATTCACAAAGACAAAATCATATTTGAATTTCAAATTTCATATTTTTTATCGGTTATAACATTTTTTTATTTCGAATTTTTTGAAACCGAAAGTTGAATTTGACCGGAAGGAGAAGTATGACATACCTCTGGAAAGCCATTGAAGAAGGCCATTAAATCTTGCATGGAGGTGTTAAAAGGGAGGCCTCGCAAGACGACAGGGCAAGTGTGTGAAACTATAGTCTGTGGAGAAATAGGAGGGCTAGGGTACCAGTAAATTATTGGCGGATAATAAGTCGGTCGTGGTGGTATTGGTGTCACGGCAGCTGGTGGAAAGGTCGCCTGGAACGGCTGTGGCAAGTGGGCATATGGCAGCGTAGGGGTGGTCAACGCCGACGTCGGAATCATGGTTGGGGCAGGATCTGCAAAGATAATAAGATTCTTAATATAGATATGTAAGTAAAGTGTTTGCATGTATTCATGCCCTTTCATCAGACTGAAATATATATATATATATATATATATATATATATATTAAAGACTAAATAAAGTACATTACATACGTAGAGCTGGAGAAATGAGCTGGCGCTGTACAAGCTGGGTAGGTGGCGGCTGGGGAGCCAGGGTGGCAGGTGGAAGAGCAGGAGGGAAGCTACTTATACCACTGGTGAGTACAAGGTTCATATCTTCCCCAGAACACTGGATTACGTCAATAATCCTTTTCTTCTGACCAAAAACCATTGCTTTCTTGTATCGGTTCAGTGTTGTGAGTTGTGCAGCCTCCTCTGAATCCATCTGAATGAAGGCCTCGCCAGAAGGTTCTCCCTAGAACATACGGAGAGTATCCAAGTCAGGCATGCATACTTTTTCTGGTATGTAAGGGTAAGTAAATTGAAAATCAATATTCTCTTAACGAGTATAATGATGATATCGTTAAAATCTAATATTTTGAATACCATTCTCACCTGGGCAGTATAAACCATATGAACTCCTTGGTAGACGATGAACTGTGAAAATTCTCCTAGAAAATTCAAAATATCTGTCACCTGGGCAACACTTGGCAGATTGCGCAATCTCACACAATCTCTCTTTGTGCCACTCGTGATCAGATTCTGGGGAATGTAAGGCAGAGCCGCCTGTTGGGGTATTTGGGCAATCAGTGGCGGCAACTGCGTCTCTAGAGGTTCTGGATTGCGTGGGTCCATACTGCGGTTCAGAACCTGGATATCAAAACGGAAATGACTTTATTTCATATATTCCCTGACGTGATTCAAATGAAGATAAGAGGAAATTCATATAAAATATTATTTAGGTAGGGGTAAAATTACCAGTTTTTAAACCTTAATTATGGGAACAGCTTAACCAAAATACAAGAGTCATATCTTAACAACGAGCTGTAATATTCGTAAAAACACCCATGTGTAAAAGATGTAATTGCCAACTTCACGCTCGATTGAATACCTAACAAAAGTCAGGCTGTTTTATTTGATACTAAAATGATGCATAATCCGCGGGCATATTCCCTGTATTAATTGTATGCAATGAATGAAAGGCAAGGCAAGACAACATAAACCTGCCAGAGAGCTGACACCGATGTAACAAATTTACGAGACTCATAACTTCTCAATCTAAGACAGACACCTGTGTTACTGTAAATACCTAAAAGGCTATGTAAATACATCTACGATCAACCTTCTGTGTAACGCTATTTCAAATATAATATCATAATTAAAACTATTGTTTAATGGCTGATCACATTTGGCAGCTTTCCGACAAGGCTTTAAAAAAAAACACTTTATTTAACAGAATTTATTATAACCGATGAGACTATAGGTGTCCTCATTTGCTCCAGCGTCAGATAAATTACTTTGTATCGAATGAATCACTTGACTATAAATTGAAATTGTAGGTAATTATTTATGAACCTATGATTTACATGAATGTTTGCCCTGAATCTGTATAACACAAAACGATATATACCTGCCATAATTATAAACGATTTTAGACATTAACGATACTGTATAAAACAATCATTGATTTGAATTTAGGAATATTAACGTTCGAGACTTCCTTCCATTTACTAATTTTCCTCTGGATCATTAACGAATGGGAGGAATCCGTTTTTATCAATTCAAACAACCAAGTGATTTATGCAAGATCTACCGGAAATAAAATGTCCGTATAAAGAATGGAGATATATATTTAGATTTTACCAGCTTTTGACACAATGTGAACATTCACCGTTTAATTGTTAGTATTACATGCATGCAAGTGGAATACCATAACACACTGATGTTAGCTAGATATCGTTTGCCGTTAGTACAATTCCATCCCTGGCCCGTTGTTTACCTCTTCCAATGTTGTCTATAGCAAAATGGTTTAACCCCTTATCCAAATCCCAAAATACAACACAAAAAACAACTTCGGTAATATTCTGATAACCAAGTATAGTTATACAGAACATTTTCCTCTATATCATGAAAGGAAAAAATAAAAAAAGAATACGCTTTGGTACCAGGATCGTACTACATCGATTCAAAAGTTATTATCTTGAGCATGTGTTCCCCGAAAATATCCGTCCCTTTGGGAAAAAAATTCACTTAATATGTAGTACCTGTTGCACTTCGGCCGTTGTGCTTTTAAATAGTTCTATGTAGCGAGTTCCCATTATCTCTCTGTGCTTTTTAAGGGCATTGCAAGCCTCGTCTTCTGAGGCCAGGAGCACAAAGGCGTCTCCAGTTGATCGTCCATCTGGGTAGTGAACAAATAGGATCCCGTCCTCGCCATCCAAAACTGTGCACGGATTGGGTTCTCTTGCAAAGAATTCTAGCTGTAAGCGCAAAGACATATGATAGCAACAGCGATTTTATAATCAAAAATGACTTTGTACCCTCATGCAGTAAAAGCACTCCAATGACCCAATACCGTTGTAAATTGTCTGTCGTACGTCTATATTGAAGTATCTCAAAATGAACTGTTATCTTCAGTTCTTTATTTTGAAATAAAAAATGCTTTCAGATATTTTGAATTTTTGTCAGATTATTTCATAAAAAAAATGGATTTCAGAACATACTGTTTATAACTGAATGGGACGGGTCAATATGCCTTCTTACAATAACATTATACAAACAGTGAAATATCATTACTCCGAACTCAAATTTATATGGAAATCAAAGGAATTTCGGAATAAAGGATTGATACTGTCAACAATAAATCAAAATTTTAGTATAACATAGTGGAATGTTAGAACACAAGATAGATATGTAGCAAAACTACAACTGCTTCTACCTGACAAAGCTTTTTTACATTCAGATATTCCTAATTTGTGTGAAAAAATAATGGTCGGTGATATCTGATAGAGGTCGTCAAGTTCTACTTCAAACACATTGCCAGAGACAACAGCTGTGTACGATATACATATTTATCATTACAAATAATATCATTTAACATAATAATAACTGAATACAAATGGTGTTATTGGTTACTGACTGTGCTCATTTGACATGTAAAACACATAACTAAACACTGACAGGACAGATATCGTTAGAGCCATTCACCTGTCGCCATTGTTATCACCACGGTGATGAACGTGATCACGTGACTAAAGAAAGTGAGAGGTATTGTGCTTCACTACAAAGTGATCCTAATCAAACAAAATACTTGTTGTATCAGTTGATATTATCAGTTCATTTTGAGATACTTTTGAGAAGGTAAGATACATGAAATGAAAGATAATTATGAGAGTGACCTATTTACCCACAATATTACAATATATGATCACCTTCCCCACGCCTAGGTGGAGATTTCCATATATTATACTGAGCCAGCAACCTGTCACCCCGCACCTCTGTAAAACTTGCAATGAACCACTGGCCCAGACACTAACACCAAATTCTCCACAGTTTGGCACCAACCCGTCCAAACCCTATCCCTGCCACACTCAGAAACCATGTACCTAACCATGACCTTTTGTATTGCTTACTTACCTTCATTGCACACTAATGCATAGCTTTGGAACTATGCCTTCAAACTGAAAAAACGTAGCAAGTTGTTTTGTTTAGGTTAAAATTTCGTCGTATATATCACACTAGAACTATCATCCCCAAATACCAAAAAAAAAGAAAACACTCTTTGCAGCAAAATGGATATCACCCAAACTTACAACATCAGTCTAAAGGTAGTAATGACTTAGCTTCATGAAATAAAAATGTATTAATTAAGATTTCGAATTGTCTACAGATGCTACTACCTGACTAATGTTTATAAGTCAACAGGGTGGATATTCCATACATATATTACAACAATCATTTTAATAAAAATGTTTCTCATTTTATCAATTAAAGTTTTACAATTACTGTTCATGCATAATGTTTATATTAGTTCCCATTACCAGTGTTCCGGTTGACCTACCACTTGTTGTGAAGTCGACGTGAAAGGAAGTCCACGCATGCGAATGATGACCTGTCCACCACGCGAAAGGAAAGCCTGTGCCTCAGTGTTACTTCCTAAAATTAGGGAAAAAACAACAGCAATTGAAAGATATTTTCAAGGTATACAGGAAGTGTTAAAATACTTTCATTTCATCTTACTTTTATCGTCAGTGAAGCGTTAATACAGCAGATTGATTTATGTATAACTGGGAGTCTTTAATGTCCAATTCAAACCTACTATTTGGCACATAAAATTAATGTTCCGCTTACTTAGATTATCATGAATTATAACTCATCGTCCGATAATAAAAGAAAAACTATTTATACGGCTGTCTGGGGTCTACAGCATATTCCAGGATGTGAGATATGAAATGTAATTAGCATCCATGATGAATATTAATGTGGTTACCTCCAGCCACGTCCACAAAGTCTTTTCCTGACGCTTTGTACACCTCGATGTATCTCTGGCCAATGTGATGTTTGTGCCGTTTTAGAGCTAAGTCCCGGTGTTCTCCATCCTGAAATCTTACTAGGGCTTCCCCATTCCTCCGGCCCTGGGGGCTGAGACAAAGGGCCACACCTCCCCTGATAAACATCGACAACAAAATGTGAAAACCATGCTGCAAATCACCATCCAATCTCATTTTTTGTCATGATAGTGAATAATACATTAGAAAGAGAGGATATAGCTAATGGAGGCTTGCAGGAGAAGGGTGAATATTTGATGGCGTGAGAAACCTAAGTCACCTTTCAAAACTTACAAGTATGCAGTTTCATATGTATCCAAATATGCATGGGGTGTTAGCGATTAATGGACATGTTCAGATAAAATACAGGACTGCATGGCTTTAACATAATATATCTAGAGTTTAAATCACTTACTTGGCTATATTGAGTCCCTTGAAGAACCGTGCAATGTCTTGGTCTGATGACTGCCATGGCAAACCACGTGCTCGTACAACAGAATTGTCGTCAACAATATCAGTTTTAGAGCTGAAAAACGCGGAAATGACACAAAAACCATGAATGACGCACTCGTTATGCAGTTCTCCTACTTTAATCAGATATAGATATGTACATACCATATAAAAAACGTATTTAATTAAGGCGGAGGTTCAAAAGCGCCACCACTACATTAAGTTGTATAATTTATTTTCTATGCCTCGGCTATTATCAATACATAGAGTTTAATTTATTTCCAACAATCTAAGAAAGATTCAAAGAAGAAAAAATGAAGTAAAATCTTGAGAGCATTTTTCGTTACCTCTATTGAAGTTAAAATTGTCATAATTCATAGAGGCATTAAAGTGAGAGCTACATGTAGCTAGTGATATATGACTGGGACCTTACTGAAGTAGACTTTCTCGACTATCACTATACCATGGCGATAGATCTACGCAATAAAGAGGGTGGTAACATCTGTTCAGAACAAGATGTCGCCAGACTTCGATATGAGTCACGAGTCATAAGGTGGATAAACGTTAGATGCTGACGTATTGACCGTCTAGATAGGACATGCATTAACTGCATTATATCAATAAACTTTTGTCGAACAAAGGTCGAGACTCCTGCATGAAGGGCTGCATCACACGCCTCGCTCCGATATTACTGTCCCTTCACTTCAGTCTGCATTTAATGTAGCAGCTCAGTACTTCCATCACTAAGCATGCAATATATTCGCACTTCAAAAATGGCACACGTTGTCGTGGCAGCATTTCTTGTGATGATGTCAATTTATTTGCTTTCAATTGAGACTTACCAAATCCCTGGCTCCAGTCGTTCATTAATGACGTCAGGCTCGACAAATGTGTGACCTGCAAATGTTTATAATAATGAGCGTCTCATAAAAGAGAAATTTCCATTGAAGACGTTTTAAGTTAGTGAAAGTAAAAGAAAACTGTCATAAATATTCAAATAACAGCCAGGATAACATAACCCAGAGTTGATGTTACATATCTGTAATTCTATACAAATCTTTCAAACGAAATCTACAAAGACAGATAAAATCACTTATGTTAACATATTTTCTAAACCAAGGTACTGAAGCGAAAATGTAGATCAAGTTTATCATTCGCAACATGAAATCAGCTATCACACTTGCAAGGTTAGAAGGACGAGATAATTCTTCAAATTTCGTCAAAACATTAGTATAAAGATATTTTTAGGTATTTTAAACAACATATATTTTATTAAATGAGCCCATTCTTCTCGGTTCTAAAACAGGAAAAGAACAATTTATACCAATACAAATTATTCAAATCGGTTATTCAATTGCAACATGAAAATTAAATGTTGATCGTTAATATTTGTAAAGTGGATTAACGCATTTCGATCTTATGTGAATTGAACATTTCAATGTTTGTATATTTCTAAACGGGTCATTTTCGGAGTCCAGACAAGAAACAACATGTAACGGGTTTATGTTTCGGAACAGTGCCTATTTCAGAGATTAGCCCAACACCTTCCGTTATCATCGAACTAGTTATGATATTCTATTGTTTCTGACAGAAGAGCAGTGGCGTGTGACAGCATATCTGTCGACACTTCACATACAAACTTCAAAAACATATAGGCAGCCTTTACTGGACCTTCATATCAATCCACCGGATCGAAGTAGGACATAAACTTATCAATAAATGGGACTGAGATTTACACCAACTTTTCATATCTCTACCACCACCTGAGCACAGCTATTGTTGACAGTATATACTTTGTATGAACATATGACAATACAGGAATCTCTGCCAGGGACAAACAATGTATACGGACAAAGGACGACCTGACCAGACCTAGGTGTGGGATCAGCGTCCCCCAGATCTCGGTAGGATTACCTTCTGTGGTGCGGTGATAGGTATCGGGATGGCTAACGATGTTTGAAAACATTTAAATGTTTCTCGTGCAGTCTGATCTATATCTCGTGTTAAATAATGTGTTAAACAAACATGTTTAAGTCACTACTTGTTACAACTCAACAGCAGATTTCAGCACTGATAGGTGATTTTGTTACTGTCATAAACGTGATATCTTGATAATTTAAATAACTTGTCTTCTAAAATACCCACCACAAAAGATGTTTATGGCTTTTGCATATTAGGGCAGAAAACTGTAATTCCAATGTGTCGGAACAGAGCTATAGAAATTTAAACATGTCGGCGTGAAGAAAAAAATATTCATCTAAAACAGATGTGTCAATTTTGGGAAAATGAACGGGAGCAGAGTAAATGAGAACTGAGGTTTGTATAACGATAAAAATGCTCCACCAGGTACGGTCGTCCCCAAATACTCTGAAAACATTTAAGTCAACTTGATCAAACTTTCCTTACTGCTGTAGCGTGAAGTCATTGAAACCCCTAATCTGTCAGAAACTCTCGAAGCATGAACTAAACAGAAAAAAACACTGCCCCAGATAATCCCGGCCAAGAAGATGATCGTAACGTTGTTGTGACAGGTGATTTCGCTTTATGTCTGTAGACACCGATTCCATGCCAGGATAACTTGGTTATACTTAACACTCCTGTAATACTCCTAATCTGATCCATTTACATAGAAAAAGAGCACTGCTCCAGGGGTTGTACAAATACATAACAAAATACGTATTCTAAATATTATTTTTTCATTTACATTTCTTATCCTTAATTGAGTTGCCTTTTTCCACCTCATCGCACACTACAAACGTAATTGTTATACTACGTGGCCATCATTGCTGTCGTGTGTGTGATGGTGGCATACAAATCTCAAATTCAGTAAGAGGAGGGCAAACATGATTTACACGAATACTCCCAAAAACAAGTAAACAAGACCTGATTGTTTTGGAAGGGTAAGCATACACGGGAAACGTAGACACTGGCAGAAAAAGAAACATTGCTGTTCTACTTTGTTGTCAAAACATAAGTTCGATGTGGCTGTAACCTACTTACCATCATTGATGAGTCGTTGCACTATTCCGGCCATTTCCTGGACTTGTCGGACACCATACTCTACAGAATGGTCTTCCTGTAATCCTAGATCTGAGGCAGGAGTCAAGGATACTAACGATTCTTACAGTGAATAATACACGTCATCACATTATCGAGGAACCAAAACATCATCTAGAAACTTAACCTTGGGTTTAACTGAAAATCATTGATAAAGAATATTGCTTAAGAATCTCGGGTAAATTACATGAAATTTAATCGGAATTAATATGTGGAGTAAGCAAAATGTCCTGATTAGTCAGAAAAGCAATAAATATAACGGTACGCAAAAGGGGTGTGCTAATCACAGAGAGTCTATGACTTTTTAAAGATTTTATGGACTGATTGGGGGAACCTTTCTAGAAAATATCTGCTGGATTCGTCAATGCATAGAGCGCAACACTATCCAAAATCAGCAGAAAAGAACTGTATGGTAGTGTTCTCAAATGTGTTTGCTTTAATGTCAAAAGATGCATAATGCAACATTTTGATGACATAGATAAACCTCAGAGGTTGCACAACCGTGATAAGAATTCCCCAAGTCTTGGAAAGCATTTTGTCGGTGACACAGATGACCACCGATAAGTAATATGTTAATTACTTGAGGCATTAGCCTTATTTGGAACTTTAGAAGCACCAATCTGCCTGTTTAACAAGACTTAATAAACGCTGTATCATTTCCTCTGACCTAGTTAGTCTCAATTTTCAAACGTTTTCTCTCGATACGATCTGCGAGACGTACATAAACTGAAAATCTCGGAGAGAGGAAAGTTTTTCATCGCCATCAACTATCTTGTTCCATCAGATGTGACATAATCTCTCTCTATAGGGTGGGCTTATTATCTCATTTTGGTGGTCCTATATGTAAATCTAACTCATCGTCTGCATAAAATGTCACGTAAATATAGAAAAAAAACATTAATCGAAAATTAAACGAAATGAGATATATGTATGATTTTAATTCACTCAATAGAATAGCAATAATTCAGAAAGAAATGGGATCATCTCTAAAACAAATATTCTCGTGGACTCAGTTTTAAAAAAATGTCTAGAAAATTAAGTAAATTAAAAATTTAAAAGAAAAATTACGCACAATAATGGTGTAATTTTGCTACAGAATGAATCCAAGGTAACGATTCAATCTACGTGCTTGCTTTTCACAGTTGCCCATAAATAAAGGGATCTAGTTAGCTTATCCTTGGGGATCTATTACTAATTAGTCACTAGCATATCTTCAATAAAAAGGCTCTTTGTCTTAACAAATTCATTTGTATTTATTTCTACTACTGTTAACAACAGGAGCTTATTTTGAATTAATTACAGCCAGCGATTTGGAACATTCGGTTTATATCCACAGTAAGCCAAGACAAGGCCATATATTTATGAAGATCATGAAGATGCAACATGATTGTCGTGGTGAGATGTGGATAAAGACATTGCTTAGGTCGAGGAAATTTTTTCACAGTGACATAGCTCAAAATCAGCACACTGTCATAGCAGATCTACATGTAACCCAAACATCTTCAAACTCCAGAATAAGAAAGCAATGAGAGTCACCAGACACACGATGGACACAGAGACTGGCGGTGGACACACAAGACTGATCGCTAGGCCACATGACTAACCTCCAGCTAGGTGTGATGGTTAATTACGCTTGGTCTACCGTTTTGTCTCGCGGGCACGAGATAACGGGAAATGTTCTATCTCTACCATCATAAAGTCATTAGTTATCGCCCTCGATCTAAACAACAGTGAAACTCACCTTAGTACTTCTTACAACGCACACGTGTAATTCTAACTTTTAGCATATCGAGGCCTGTTTCGAGCACATATTCTGCAGTTGTCAATGTCAACTCACACAATTTGCTCAAACAGGTGTGTAGCCATAGCAATTCAAATGTCTTTAGTGGTCTCCTGGTCAGTGGTCAACGAAGGTGACAATCGCATTCTGAGTCACACAATACAAACACATTTGGGTTAGCATGTGAAATCAGTACAGTGTGTTCATTGTTGTAGGGGAGGGGTCGGGAATTGTAACATATAGTGGCGAAATTGGTGCTGGTGAAAGTAATGCTTCATGTACATTGTGCGAGAAAACAAGCCAGGAAGAAACAGAAGTTGATTGCAACAATATGTAAAGAGTGCCTTCCCCACATCCGTAATACTAGGCCTACTTTTCATCTCCCTATAACCTATCATTTTAACTAAATAGGAGACTAAATAGATTCATATACAAATCCCTCTGTATCTCACAGGTTACATTAAAATCACTTTTTCTAACAGGCAAATGAACGAACTTGCAGAAATCGACTCAAACCCCTTTTATATATAATTCTTAAGATAGTTTTGTACCTATAAAGTCTGGCGAATTTGCATAACTGTCAGTGGAGATATTAGGGGTCATAGGTCACACTCGCATGGAGGTACAGATCGCGTTACATAAATATTTTTAGTCGTTTTTTTCCGTTGTCTACATGAAAGGATTTTCTTAAGCAATTAATGTCATAAGATAAATCCGTATTTCTGTCCAACATCTACAAATTGTCCTGATTTCAGTATTAAACTTTCTATAAAATATATACAATTACACTATTCGTAAACTCCGAAGGTATTATTTACGAGCAATAAACGTTGTTTCATTGAGTGTTATGCTAATCTGCTTGTGCGAAGCCCAAATTTGGATCATTAATGTCGACTTGGTGTACCTTTAATAGATTTTGATATCTAAGTCAGACCATCGCTATACTTTCCCATCCTCGTTATATAACATTGTCCAATTACATCAGCACTTCTTCTCTTTCCGCCCATCCCTATCCCCTTTCCATTTTTTCCCATTTTATACCACTAGCGCCCGTTATTTCCACCCATAACCTTCCCACTAACTTCTCTTTCTATCCATCCCTATCCCCATTCTAGCTGGTTTTTTCTCTTCCCACCACAAGCACCACATTTAAGAATTGTTTCTCCTACTCCTTGCTACCTTCTCCTCCTTGACAACCGATACCAGTAATAAGGATGCAATTAGTGTTGGACATTCTTAATAATGTTTATATTTGAGCACATGTATGATAGTTCGAAGCTAGCTCTCTTTGGCATATCTTTTAACTGTAACTTATTGCTGTCAGACATGTCCCTAAGACGCCTTTCTACGGTTTGTTTGAAATCTTACATTTTCAGTACATTTTACTCAATACAGTAATAATTTGACGTGCTGGTTAATATACCGCTTACAGTTTATCACAGTCTGACGCCCGAGGATCACGTATTGGTATGAGATGTCCAGATATATCCCCAAAGGTATTCACATCACAACGAATTCTATACTGACAGGTGAAAGAAGCAAACTTGATCTCCAGTCCATATATCTTACAGTCGGTGCTCTTACCTGTCCGTAAAATCAATCAAACCATTATCGATCTTTATCGATATGTGCCCCGTGGGCCTTTACCATATAATGTTAAATACACGATACGGGCCCTTATCTGATAATAAATCCACAATGTAAATAAATGTTTGAAAATGTTTCCATCTCGGTGTTAAAACTTCCGACCTGGAACACAAATCATTTTTACGACCTAAACATATTCACATCTCAGGCGCCATTTTTAATTATAACACATATACAAATTTAATTCAATTCAATCCCAAGTTGTAATTAGGAGATCACAACCATCTTTTAAACATCCGAACGTTCCGGTTGAAGGATTTGTTTTAAAGCGTGCAGCGACATATTCGACAAATTTCAACGTTTCCCGTGGATTAAACGCTGTATATCATAATTCCTGCTCGAAACCAGTAGGACAACAACTGGATACAAATTAGCCGAGTTGACGATTTAACTATCTACACGTCAGAACGATAGGTACCCGTTTGTACGTGGTGGGAACGGGGACTTGTACCAGTGTTCCGTGTGAATGAACACATTTAAGTGAAGATTCGATCGTATCGCTAAAAGTGAAAATATTTTGGAAGACTCAGGCGATGTATTTATAAACTAACGATCACATGCTACACTACATACCGCTTTCGTCAAATCTTTATTTTAAGTGTCGCCGAGACCCAAATCATCTCTCCAATAATAGCATTAACGTTCCAAATCTTTAGAAAGCACTACTGCATTATATTTTCTATATTTTGTACAGCAATGTAACAGGTGTCTGGCTATTTGAAGAAATAAAGCGCAGATTCAGGAGAGATATTTTCTAAACCTTATGTGTAATGAATTTGAAAGCAATGCTTATATCAGAGTCGTGTTAGTTCCTCCAATATTTTCTATTTATAGTTTTGAATAAATTAAGGCCGACAGTTAATTAGGTATCAAAGACTTAACCCATAATAAAACTGGGACATTAATTTCATTATTTATGACTAAATTAGTTTTTGGTGTCGGAATTTTGTACGGTGAAGTGCACATACGTGCTCAGGCCTCGACACATATTAATATTTACGTTAAACTATTCGGATAGCTGTGCTCTGTAAATATGAAGTTTAAGATTGCGATGACTTCGAGTTGTTTCCATTCATCACTCTATACAGATAGGACATACAGTTGGAGACTAAAACACCCATTCTTTATTAGAGTAGACAGTATACCTTCAAAACTGTTACTATTTGTACACTTAGTAAACTTAACGCACCATTACACATTTCAATGGAATTCAGATTTTATGCGTGAATGTGTTAATTGAAAATAAGTTTATACTTGTATTTACAATTGTATATTATATCTCGTTCTGCGTGCCCGTCACTTCTAGCCTCAGGTCGGGAAATGCGCCATGGTGAAAGTCCCCAAATTTCTCGGCGTCCCATCCATCACTGTCCACAGAAAACATGCCCCCAGGCCGTTACACATTAAACCAGTGCGTCGTTTATACTGTGTTCGGGCGGCAACTGAATACCGTGCAGGTTAGCAAGCGGGCTCGCTTTTTAATGCCTCGTTCAGGATGGTGAAAATAACACAAGATGTTTTGATATTTCCTTAAAGTATTTATAATTTTACAATTTATTTCCTTTGAATTTGGACCCCAAATTGCAAGGACATAGAAAACAGAAGGTACCACGTTATTCGTTTGTATAAAATATCGTACAACTGTAATGTTAAAATACAGTCTGAAGATACCTCTCAGTGTGTGTAAAATTTCTGTTAAGCTCGACATGCTTGCAACAAAGGATGCATGTACATGTCTGACAAACGTCAGCAATCCAGTTAACACGACAAACTGGGGGAAATACCACACACACAAAACTACGGTAATAGGGAGGAACGAGTGGCTGTGTCAGTCATCAGACACTTACACATACGACACGTGAATTCCGTCCTGTTCTTTAGTCCCTCTCGACGCTAGATCCGACACGATAGGGATATGAATAGGGGATGAGGAGGGGGGGATCAGGTAATTGTATGAAATGACTAAAAGCGAAAAATTATGTATTGGATCATGACAGGGACCATCCTCATTCGTATATCTTAGTTGCTCACTAACTGTACCGGTCGCACTAACGGTATCAGTCTCACTAACTGTACCGGTCGCACTAACGGTTTCAGTCTCACTAACTTTACCGGTCGCACTAACGGTATCAGTCTCACTTACTGTACCGGTCGCACTAACGGTTTCAGTCTCACTAACTGTACCGGTCGCACTAACGGTATCAGTCTCACTAACTGTACCGGTCGCACTAACGGTATCAGTCTCACTAACTGTACCGGTCGCACTAACGGTTTCAGTCTCACTAACTTTACCGGTCGCACTAACGGTATCAGTCTCACTAATTGTACCGGTCACACTAACGGTATCAGTCTCACTAATTGTACCGGTCACACTAACGGTATTCAGTCGGTTAGATACCATGGAAGACATGACCACCATTAAAGACTTCTATTTCTCTTCGTCTGATTACGTTATTTCCTTTACCGCAACGGTATTATGCACGGATGTAAAATGTCAATATTTGGCACATGGCCCATGTAAGTTATATAATGAATCCGTTTTCATTTGATGTTATTAACTCTGTTGGATTTCTATGACTGAAATCTTTCATATCTGCTTTAGACATAACACTTATATAAACATGCTATGAAAATACAAAATATAAATTACATTCAGATATAGCATTGGTATGTTTTTGATCTAGAAGGGAATTTAAATGCCGATTCTTCGGTAAACCTGGTAACACCGATGTACTGACGGTATTAGTACACGCTGAGATATCGAACATGTGTCGAGTATAAGATGTTTCCAATAACACAGCACTCGAGTACAAGTACCGGGGGACAGATCCGTAATGGAGACGTCTGGAGGGTCGGGAAAGGGAGGGGAGGGAGTTGGACTAGTCTAGGAGCCGAGTAACGACACGTAATAGAGCTTTGTGAGGATAGAAATGACCAGAGAACCTCGGTACCTGGGTATACGACCTGTACACATAGGGGTACATCTACCCGTCCGATAAACACCAGGCTTAAGCTTGACACCCGAAGAATGTTGCTAGCTGTGTACACCAACCCACTCAGCTACAGCTGAATGTTATGAAAACCACAGTGTATGTGGGCTATTTAAAATTTTAACCTTGCAAATTAAAAATGTCTGAACGCAATTTGTAGAACATTGTTCAATAAGAGTACATTGTGGCGCTGATGTGTCTCTTTGTTCGTTCCTTTTCCGTTTTGTTATTTGGTTCCATTTACCGACGTCCCGTGCCATTATATATGGTAACATCAAGTTATAAGTTCATTAGAAAGTCTCAATTTATAAGCTACAGTTTAAACATGTCAGAAAGCCTGTCCACGATCCTTCTGGCAAAATGAAGGGAACATTTTTCATTATGGTTGTCTCTATTGAAAGTTAATCCACTCTGAACAAACATAATGTTAAGTATCATACTGCGAGAAAAACTTTAAAATACACCCGCTTTAGATAAGTAGTAATCCTGTTTCACTTCATTGTATCTCGTTTGTTGTCATTCCGTATTTTTTATTACTCATATATAATGAGAAAAACATACACGTGTAATATACTTATATCGTGAATGAGGATACTTGACATTCATTTCCGAGTAGAAATTTCTATACATGTCTATAATGAATGGACCCATCCCTTTACTTTAACAGTGAGGTCGGTATCTTTGTTCCAGATGGACCAGGAATGTTGAACTGGTAAAAATACACTACCACTTTTTATCTTAAAATCATTTATGTTATGTACCTCCAGTTTTGTTTTATTGATATTCCTACAAAGATAAAAATACACACCAAGTATGGAATCGTGTAGTGTTTGAATGACACGTCTCCCTGAACTGATCGTACGCTCAAGGCTGTTAACAAACAAATTCTTATACAGCCACTTAAGGTATCAACTGTCATATGTATAGTACAATTGCATTTCAAGATCATTTGTTCGTAAACCTCTGATTAACTGTGACCTCACGAGCTCGCGCGCTGGGAAGTGAAAAAGTACACATTACAACAATGACATTTAACGTGGATATTTCCATAATATATCTGACAGTAGTGGTTCGCCATAATCTATTGGACTTGGACAGAATATCTCAGTCTATAATTGTCAGTGATGTCTTACATCTCAGTGTAAAATATTGTGACGTCACAATTTGTCACAGAAGCAGACGACTTCTATCTAGCTTAAAGCTAGAATACACAAGATAAAAACAAGATTTAACTGTGACAGAAGACGTTTATGTCAGTCCTACCAAACTTGTTTAAGACGAAAACATTTCTATGTAACACCCAGCATTATGTGCCGTCAATGTTATCGGGTTTTGATCGTGTCTTCTACAATTGCAGCGATATGTTTTGGGGTAAGTTTCTCGCTGACAAAGGGTTTCCATTACCTGGCCCTGAATGACAACATTCCGTTTGAGCTTATTTAGACCCGTGTAATTTTGCGATCACGTGATCAGTGCAAAGTATATCCCGAGTCTACCAAACAATGCTAAACACAACACTCTTGTTTCTATTTTAAGATAAATCTACTGGGTACATTTATGAATATTAATTAAGTGATGATGTACTATGATCTATACTAATTAAGTGACCAGATTGGTTTATCTCTTACGTCATAACATCAATAACGGACATAGGTAGAACATCATCAGCACCCTTGGTCAAGGTCATATGGAAGACAACAGATGGACGATAATGGCAGATGGCTGACCAATAGGGTCAGTAGTAATATTAAGCCTAACAAAGTATATATTGATAAGTACTTACCAAACGAGGCACTCCAAAAGCGCAATCATAGACATTAAATATCACTTGATGTAAAAAGGATACAATCCACCATTGACTTGATGTTGTGTATATTGTCCGTTTTGTAAAATTTTCTAAACTGTTTCCTTAGATCAAAGAATTTGTTAAAATAGCTGGGTATGGAGACATTCTTATTGCTAGCCTCTGGGTGAAGACACTGACGTAGATGTGACTGTCCATCAGTTAGTAGACAAAACGATTTTCCGCCATTTTCCGGATGTACTCCTTTTGCGGAGAGAAATCTTTCGAACTATAAAAGAAAAAGAAAAGGAAACCTTAGAAAATTATGATACAGGCACTCGAGGGGGGGAATGAGGGCACAAACATTTACTGAAGTAGTATAAAAGTCGGGAGGATGACGGTATAGATATTTACTGAAGTAGTATAAAAGTAGGGAGGACGAGGGCATAGATATTTACTGAAACAGTATACAAGTCAGGAGGATGAGGGCACAAACATTTACTGAAGTAGTATAAAAGTCGGGAGGATGAGGGCACAAACATTTACTGAAGTAGTATAAAAGTCGGGAGGACGAGGGTATAGATATTTACTGAAGTAGTATAAAAGTCAGGAGGATGAGGGCACAAACATTTACTGAAGTAGTATAAAAGTAGGGAGGACGAGGGTATAGATATTTACTGAAGAAGTATAAAAGTAGGGAGGACGAGGGTATAGATATTTACTGAAGTAGTATAAAAGTAGGGAGGACGAGGGCTTGGGCATTTACTGAAACAGTATACAAGTCGGGAGGATGAGGGCATTGACATTTACTGAAGTAGTATAAAAGTCAGGAGGATGAGGGCATAGACATTTACTGAAGTAGTATAAAATTCGGGAGGATGAAGAGTTTAGAAATTTACTGAAAATAATGCACGTACTCCCTCTTAAATCGATAATCCCTTCTGTGAAACCATTGATACCCTCCCTCGATGGGCGGACGGGTTTTACACGATGTTGTTCACACCGACACAATCACACCCGGTCTAGCAGTAATTGAGATATTTCATATGATGTTAACTTTTAAAATGTCGCCAGAAGCCGTCATCCATGCCCTTCACTAGCCGCGCTAGTAAATTTACACTACGTGGGCCTGGGTAATTATTTCCGTTCAATAAACACTTAAAAGTATGAGAACTTTGTCATTCTTATACTTTTTTGTGTGTACTTAGATGAATTGCGTTAATTCATTCTAACATATATGTTCAGACAAGGTTGAAAACGTCCAGAAATGTTCAGCAATGCATGACCATTAAGCGAACAAGTAAATTATGGAACATAGTTGTTTTTGAAGTACTTTTAATCACCTAAAACAAATGTCTTTATTTAAATATGAACGTTCAGCACATTGTTTGGTTCCCATTACACATGTTGAAGTGTGAGAAATGACACGAGGTACTACAAACAGGTGCGCCGATAAGGTTCTGTCCCACAGGGTCTCCCCCTCTCCTTTACTTCCATGTGTAGAACAATTGGGGTATTACGTTGGGAATAATCCGAACCAAACTGTCCTTACGGTCGTGTGAACTAGCCACTGGTCAAGGATGACCATTACGTCACCGCCCATATCTACTTAATCACTCTTTTATCTTATCCTTTTGGTTTAAAATCCTCGCCAGTATTTTTCAAATATTCATGTTCTGGTATAAACAGAAAAGAGAGCACCTGTTCGTGTGTTCGCCAGATTAGATAATATGACCGTATGTTGGGTCTCTAAGAGGGATAGCAGATAGATAGGTTAGGAATCAGGTGTACGAGAGGACTGTCAATACAAAATCAACTTGCCCTAATACTGACAGTAACACGCCTTACGGTCACTGATTTCAAGTGAAAATGATGAAGACATGTGTTTGAGATTAAAGACCATTTTTTCTTTAAAATAGTTATCGTATTTATGGTAAACTTCTGATCAGTGGCGAGTTCTATGTTGCCCACAGTAAAATCAATATACTGAGGCAACAGGTTGCAAAGTAGCAACAAGAATCCTATTACTATTACACCTCACAAGTCCCTGGTCTATGTATAAGCAACACGTGGACAGTCGCCGCAACAGCTGTTTGCAGACAGGCAACCGTCTGGTCAACTTAATGTTTGAAATATCTCCGTTTATAACTCTAGTTTAGCATTTTCCCCTTTCCTTCTTTCGCATACACGTTTATTTGTTAGAGTATAAATTGAAGTCGAGTGACACGTGTTAATTATTCCTAAACAGCAGGAAATTTGATTAATAATATTACCGGTAAAGATGACTACACCTATTGTTACAAATCGATCCAAATTATAAATCTCTGTATAGGACAACATATAGTCAAAATGATGTATACAGTTTACAATTAGCATGAATCATAACATATAGCGAACATCAGGACAAAATACAAAATGTGGGCGTGTCGAGATTTGACATAAGTTACGGTAAATCTGCGGTGAAAACGACACATTGACATCTATCTACAAACTACAAGTGAATTAATACTGGTAATTCCTGACCGGCAACACAATAATATTTATCTTCACAGGCCAGTGATTCAGTATATATTGTGTAAATACGAAAACACTGAGCGACATGGGCTACTGTTCTATGGGCTAGGGTCTCCGTAGGGGTACGGCCAGTAAAATAACACATGTAACTGGACATTGAGGGTCAGTAGCGTTTGAAATCTTTCACATCCTGGGTTCGAGTTATACTATGTATGGTGTGCTGTGAACGTCTACAAGCTATAGTGACAGTTTAAATATAATATTAAAACTACATATATATCTGTAAAGCTCTATCGTATTACCAAAACAGAAAAAAATAGTAGGCATCCTTTTTCATTTATTATTTGACAAGTATTTTTATGAAACAAATACTTCACATATGCAAGCTTCCTACAATGTACACGACTGCATGATATATATATATATATACAGAGCGAGAGAGAAGGAGGGGGAGGGGTTTGACAAATTTGCTGAGGTAGGAGTTCCACACAGTTCTTACCTCATCAAGTACGTGTTCAAGGGGCTGAGAATTCTTTATAACATCCTCATCCAGTCCTGTCTCCAGTTTACATTCCTCAGTAAGGACGGTTTCTGACAATTCTGTTGGCTGTGGCCGGACATATTGATGTTGGACGGCGATTACCTGTAATTAATACAGGTGAAAAAATTACAGGTGACATAAAACGTGTACAGAAGTATTCATGATATTACGTGTAGCTAACGTATACAGAAGTCAAACGTCGACAGACACTGAGGCATACGTTAAAGTATGTGCCAGGTACAAAACTAATCACATTTAGTGAAAGTGTCCCAAGTGTTTAATAAATGGGTACATATTAAGATATTTGTGAAAATGGATATATATGCTTAATTGTTAACTGTCGGTGAAGTTACACCTTTCTCCACACAGGAGCAAAATATACAGGTATAAATGTCAACACACTGACGATGTGTGTAAGGTGCAATAACAACGTGGCACGCGAGTGTTACACTAACATATGTGCACATTTAAAACCAGAATACAAGTAGTCAAAGTGGCCGATATGAACTCAATTGAGGGGAATGCATGCTATCAAAAATTAGATACTACTGTCACCGCGAAGGACCGGATGGTGTGTTTATATATAGATACACACTTCTCAAGATGTTCACCCAAGTTTTATCACAGATTATTCACAGGTAACCTACCTTACAATTTGTCACATCGAAAAGTAGAGAGACAAATACGACTATCTGCTGTTCATCAACTCCTAGATCTTCTCCATTCTTTCCTGCCGTGACACAGAAACATATGAGAAGGTGGGAGGCAGCCATGCTGGTCTGGTGTAATGTCACACTGAAGTACACATCCACACCGGTGTACGATCCTCACCTGTATAACCAAATCTAATACAAACGAAATGTTTTGTTACTCGACCCAACCAGCTGTGACGATACCGCGCTCTTTTTATCCCTGAGCAATCTTATTGGCCAGACAGAGGATCGCCCTAACGTGGCAATGAGGTCTCCCTGCGCACGCACAGTTCCGAAAACAGATAAGACAAGAATAGGTAAAGTTTCTTGAATAAGCTGTTACGGTGTTAAATTGTTCACAATAGTCTTGCTAATCAACGAAGAAGATCATTTAAATACAAACGTCCAGGTAGGGTTAGACAAACCCGACTGGGTTTTAAAAATTCTTATGTGAGGCCTCACCGAGAAGAAGTGTCAACACACCTGAAACACATAAAGAACTCCTGTGTGTGTCTATTATTTCCAGTGCAAAGTTTTGATCCGATAAAAAATGTTTAATCAGACAAGACAACAGTAGCGAGTAAGCCGAGGTATGTGTAGTACTATAAGTATATTGACACAGGGAACAGCAGAACAGACACTTTATCTCCCAAACCGCACGATAGTTTCACCGAACAGAACAAGTTATGAGCTTCAAATTCCATATCCGTTACTTATATACAGTCCGTAATCGGCTAATTCAGAAGTTTTACCCCGCGGGGAATTCACACCTGACAATCCGGTAAAAATCTGTTCCCCGTGGGTGCCGGGCTGCTCTGTCTTAAGCTTCAGAAATCGTATGGTGCTGCCCTCCAGCGACAGTCCCTCCGAGCGTGAGTGCCCCGGGCCTGTTATGACACTTGACACATTTGTATACATGCTTCATATCATCAAAATATGCATAATTATGTGTGTAGCGAGCCCTACACTCCAGATTACAGACAATTTCAGACGATAATAGCTCAAATTATACCTATTATTCAAATTATCTCATTTTGGCGAGTAATTGTGCACCATGAAGTAGAAAAGCCAGTTTGTGTGTATAGATACGTGTGTGTACCGTTATCCCGCATGCATCCCTACCAATATTACTGTACAGTACAAATATAGCCAATAGAGTCACACAATTAATAGTCAGATTTTATAATGAAACTCTTGACAATTAGTAACCAGGCACGTGTTGGAGGCTCTAACAAAGCCAGTATATGATACTGGTCGACAATATTGTTGGTAACGACATCTTTATACGAGAGGCAGCTGGTGAAAATTGTCCAAGATCTAGATTAACCTCTGTCGATAATTGATAATTTTTATTTCAGCTCACCACCGTGTTTTATTTTGAATGTCTGGTTTAGCAGTTATTGTAACTGGCCAAGTGCTGGCCGAAATACTTTTGGATTTCACAACACAACAATGTAATAGAGAGTTCCTGTACACAAAGCCTTTGACTTTGTCAACCGCCAAAATTTCTTGTATGAACTAATTAAAGCGGGTATTGACGGGGAAATGTTGCAGATTTTTAGATCCCTCTATAGAAATGTGAAAAGTGTTAAAGCTGTATGATCGTTATCAGGCGCTTTTTAATTGTAAAAATGGATTGTTTCTGGGAGAAATTATCTTGCCAAATTTGTGTTCTGTATACGTTAATGACTGTGAAATGCAATTTTTAAATGACAAGTGTCCGTCTGTTAAAGTTCAAATTATAAATATTTCTTCTAATGTATACCGACAACATGGTTATATTGTCAGAAAATCGAGAAAGACTGCAGAAATTGTTACATTACTTATTTACATACACACAGAAATGGCATTTAAAAGCAAATACATGTACTTTCAAAACAATAGTAGTTATGTCGCAATGACGGAACTATTCGAGATAAAGAATCATAGGTATATAACGGGGGTGTCTTGGGAACTGTTGATGGATTTGATCATTTAAGTGTATTTTTCAATTATAATTAGAAGTAAAGAAACACTGTACAGAAAGTAGCTGTACAAATAGAAAAATCCCTGTTTGCAATAACCAAAGTAGGTCGTAATATTTCTTTTTTATCCTGAAACACAAATTTTTGATACAAAATCTTATACTATGTTCTGAAATCTGGGGTTTTACATAATGCATCAGATATTGAGAAAGTTCTCAAAGTTATCATTTTATAAAATATTAATGGGTGTTCCGGGGTAAAAATGCTGTCAGTTGTATGGTGTACATCAATCTTAGTTGATATCGTTAACGAATCACTCGTAAATATAAAATTATCAAGTACTGGTAAAAATTTAACATTTAAGGGTGTAATATCACAAGCATGTCACAGAGATGAGGTACAAAAACAATGATATATGGATCTCTGGTAATGCAACGGAGCTACACTGGGATAGGTGTGGGAGTTAGGACAGGTAGATAACGATGGTATCTGTGAAAGAATTACTGACATTTTTCAACAAGACTGAATAGATAAAATCAATTGTTCTTCCAAATGCAACCTGTATAGATTTCTGTGTAAAAAATGTTTTCAACAATACCTAAGAAAGTCAGTTGATATCAAAAGTTTGACAGAATTGTTAAAATACCATTATAATCGTATGACTTACGTATTGAAACTGTTTCAGGCTGGGATATATGCATGTGCCATGCAGGACAATTAAGACGAAATACTAGCATGTTCGAATTAGCAGAGCTGTTATCAACTGACAACAAAAAGGATATTTCAAATCTTTCATTATGTTTAAAAATTGCAGAGAAGGGAAATCAGACAGATTATAACGTAACGTGTGTATGCAGACTTTGATATTTTCAATTAACGACTTTAATATTGTTATTTCATTTGTTATTCAATACATCAATCATGTTAATACGATGTACATGCAGAGTGATGTCACTAGTTTCCGTATAGTAGGGTCACAATCTACACTACGTAAACGCGTGTTTGTGTGAATGTACTGTAATTCATTCTTAATGCATTGTAAATATGTACGTTTACTGATGAATCACAAGGTTTACAGAAAACAAAAAAATACTTGAAAGCTTAAAATCTTTTACGGAACTTAACAAAAAATTTCATGGAGAATAACAACACACATCGTAATGGGAATTATCCTACGTAACAATAAGGTGAGTTCAATATGCATTTCAAAGGGGAGTTGTTGTACAGAACAAAAAAAATGGGGTTGGGTGGGGGGACAACATAATACATTTAATGCGGAGTTCTTGTACAAAACAACAAGATACAAGTAAGTTCTTGTACAGGTCAACAACTTAATGTTATGAAGAGTTATTGTAGAAAAAAATCTATTAAATTACAATTCATTAAGTCAGTCTTTCATATTTCTAGAAATTAATACTTATTTAAATTACTGACACTCCCCTAAGGTGAGTTTTACAAATATGAGATCCGAAACTTGTCTACATATTATTTCTGTCTGTATAAGTGTACTTTATCAGGACAAAAGTGTAGAATGTATATATAGATAATTTTTACCTATATAGTCTATATAGGTATACGTTATAAGGACATAAGTGTAGAATGTATATATAGATAATTTTTACCTATATACTCTATATAGTTATACATAGGACATACATCAATATAAGCGGAATACGTATCTATTAAGTTTATGACTAGCTAACAGTTATAACTGAGTAATCTATTGGCTATACTCCTGAACTAGAATAAAACTGATGTGTACACACTACTGGAAACAGTTACGTCAACACTGGAGAGCCCTCGACACCGACGTCTGTAGTGGTTAATTACACCCACTAAAGACTGTTTACAGAGTCAATATCATTCGGATGTAAGCCTTGGTATAAATAGTTGATCAAAATAATAGAGAGAATCGGATAGTAGGTAAAACATCTACGACTTAACGCGTTTATCCGGATCTCTCTATCCGGAGAAATAATAATGTTATCCCGTATAATTTTGACACGGTCTCGGAAGTAGGAAAAATATTGCCGGACAAGCGATAAGGGAAATGTATTGCTTGGAATTCTGATGATGTAAGAGAATTTTGTTGAACACTGCTGATAAGGGATGATATGAATCATATACGGTAATGTTGTTGATCCGAAGGTTCCTTCGTTCCGTAGATCGCGAGTTCGAGGCCCGGACAGGGCACGAGTCAAACATTGTTTTCTGATTAACTGTGTTAAATGTCCAACATATCAATAAACTAACACAATGCATCATATACAGTAAATATATATCAAACTCAGGTACAATGACGACAAATCCTTACCACAACATTATTGTTGTTATTTTGGATATTGTAACACAGTTAATGAAAGGAAACATTCTCTCAGATGTAAAACATTCCAGGCAGTCTTGTACGCTTTGTTAATCAGGCTGGTGCCCTTCAGTGTTGTAAAGTTTAATCTATTGATTATTTTTTACAGTTATGTTAAATATATCTCGCTTGATTAAAACGAACTGGACATCAATGAGTATTATTCCGATGTTAGAATTTATCCCTGCAGCTGTGACGCAGCCTCTGTCCACTTAACTACTGCAACCACTGGATTGTGCCAGCTGTTCCACTCGACTAGTCACAGACGTCCACGTGCTGACTTTCCATATTCACAATTCAAATGTATCACTTCTTGCAACAGCTGTTTTTATTAAAGGTTTGCATGTAAAAACGTATGCGCGTTGTCACATCTGGGCTGATCCCGACTGTCGATGAGACTGGACGATATGTACCCTCCCAGTGAGGCAGTCGATATTCTTTTATTAATGATATGCGCCTGTTCACTTGGTGCAACATGTGCGATGTAGTGTTCACGACTGTTTGATTTTGTGTGCTTTTAATTTGTCTATCAATTAACACGATCGATAATAAAGGCCATTTTAAGTTATGGTTTCCAATTATCTCACTGGGAAATTCAGTGAAATTTCGTTTAGGTCATGATTGGTTAGTTGTAGATAAATTTGAATGTTTATGACACCACAAGGTCCATGTCTGTTCATCAAACCCGTCTGTTGTTTAATGTGACGGTTTACAGCACTGTATAGGAAGCGTAGAATGACCTTTCGAGTTGACCT